AAAGGTCACAACCCTTTGGAAAGAAGACAACCTTTCAAAAAGAAAATAGCCTTTCAGAAAGGTCACAACACTTTAGAAAAGGCATAACCTTTCGAATGGCCACAACCCTTTAGAAAGGACACAACCTTTCATAAAGGTCACAACCCTTCGGCATAGTTACAACTTTTTAGGAGAGTCACAACCCTTCATTTCCTGTTCACACCTTTAAAACCCAACAGGATTCAATTCTCTAGTTAACCAAACTATTTTATTTTATGCTAAACTTGTTTTTATTTATATAGTATTGGGTAGTTTGAGTTAGTTTTTAATTCTCCCATCAAGTGATTTAGTGTAGGTGTCACTCATAACGGTCGGAGTCATCACAGAACGTGGTCAAATACTCAAATGTGCTCATTAATAAAGTAGTAGTATCAAAATATACCTATGATTAAATTTTACTTGTGCCGTAATATTTTTGTTATTTTACGCTCTTTAATTAGCTTATATAGTTTCTTATGATTTTAAGTCGAAAAAACTTTACCTTTTTTAGTAATTTTGGTGTAATACTGAAAAAATCTAAATATTATGTTCGAAATGACGACTTTACCTACTTAAATTTTAGTTTTGGAAAGTATAAAATGACTAGAATTTTGGTTTTTAAAAGGTAGTACCTTCATTACATTTTATAAGCTTTACAAAGATAAGATGATGGGAATGCCAAACTTACATGTTGTACATAGAAAATTGTTTGAGTAAGTTTACAAGTATTTATTTGCTTATTTACGTGAATTTTTAACTAATAAATACTTTCGATTTGATCCGTTCTTTTATTATTTTGTCCATATATAGTAGTATCTTTTATAATTTTAAAAATATTATTTCCAAAAACAAAACCCCTTACTCATCTTTATTTCATTTTTGTCATACGTCCTTTTTCGAGTAAAATAGTTTTGAATTTTCAATTTGTGTAAATAATTTTAAGGATATTTTAGTTGTTTTAATAGAAAAAGTGTTAATCGTCAAATTTTTTCACCAAATGCACCGACTGTTTATTATAACCATTATAAGTGGGGTTTGAAGGATAATGTGTACGTAAATTTTATTTCTATTTTGGGATAGAGAAATTGTTTTCAATAGACTTTTGACTCAAGTAAAAGTATTACAAAACAAATCAATAAAAAAACGGAAGTGAAGAAGATGAGAGACAAATTGCTAAAAAAACATGACAATGCATATTAAAAAAGAAACAATAACTAAAATAAAAGAATACGATAGTAGATGTACAAGAAACATTAAATAGTAACAAAAATGAAATAACAAGAAACTGAAGAGCAATTCTTTAACAACTAGTATGAAAGAATAGTGAGACAACTCTCAATTACCTAACTAGTCTTCTATCTTAATTTGGGTCCTCTATATATAACATCATATCTAAGGTCATGTCCTTGGTAACTTGAAGCTACACCATGTTCTGTCTAATCAACTTTCTTCAATATTTCTTCGATCTACCTCTACCTCTCATGTAATCATCTATAGTCAACTTCTGATCACCTCAGCACCATCGGTGCATCTCCACTTCATATATATATATATATATCTAAATTATCTCTGCCTCACTAATCACATTTTTTCTTCTATCAAGGTCACTCCTACCTTGTCCCGATTATCTTCATTCTTAATATTTTCTTTTCTAGTATATCCACACATCAATCTCATCATTCTCATTTCCGCAACTTTCATCTTCTGAACATAAGAATTCTTGACTACTAACATTTTGCTCCATATACAACATAGTCAGTCAAACCACTATTCTATAGAACTTGTCTTTAAATTTTAGTGACTCCTTATCACACAAGACTCCAAATGTGTGCCTCCATTTCGTCAAGCCTTCACCAATACGATGTGTAACATCATCGTAAATTTCTCCATTACTTAAGATAATAAATTCAAGATACTTAAAACTTCCTTTCTTATGGATGACTTGTCCATCAAGCCGCACCTCCATGCCTTCCTTACGCATATGTCACTCAATTTGCACTACACGTATTTTAATTTGTTTTGGTCCTCACTACTAGAAAAGTGTGAATTGCATGGAGATTTTCTTGGGGATTAGTATGAAAATCTGTAAGAAACTTATTTTCCTGCAAATTTTCATACTAATTCCCAGGAAAATCCCCATGTAATTCACAATTTTCTTGTAGTGCCTGTTCAATTGCCTCTAGAATCCAAGGTTTGTCTCCAAACCTCAAGCTTAGTGTTAACTCTATCCCGAATTTCGTCGATCAGTACTACGTCATATGCAAATAATATACACCATAACACCTCATCTTGAATTTATGTGTCATCCATTTATTATTAAGGCAAATAAAAATAAACTAAGAATTGATCCTTGGTGCAACCCGTTCACAACTGGAAAGTGCTCTCAGTCCTTACTCACTGCCTTATCCGGGTCTTGGCTCCATCGTACATGTCCATAGTAGCCCAGGTGTATGCCACACAAAAGCCTTATAAGCACTTCCGTAGAACCTTTTTCAGTTTTTTGCCATAAGCCTTTTCTAAGTCGATAAACACCATGTGAAGTCGTCCTTCTTCCTCTCCTTATATTGCTCCATCAGTTTCGTACCCAGATGAATGGCTTATGTAGTTAAACACCCCCGGCATAAATTCGAACTAAAATATACATATTCTTCCTCACCTTTGTTTCCTTCCACCATTCTCTCAAATCTTTATAATGAGACTTAAATGGTAGCTTGATAACTCTACAGTTATTGCAATTTTAAATGTCACCCTTACTCTTGTACAACAGAATCATCATACTCCACCCTCATTCTTTCTTCTAACATATTTGTCATCTTTAAACGACTTATTGAAACTACTTATTACTCTCAATTTAAATATTTTTTACCCAAGCACATAACTACTCCCAAATTCAATTTCCACATTTGAAACTGTTTTCAACACTTAACAATACTCCCTTATTATTAAGTTTTTCTTTCACAACTCATATATATCTTATTTTGAATTCGAAAGTTTTATTAGAAGCATTACATTACAAGAATATCTATGTGTGGGTTGTATATTAATTAATTTTGACTACAGAACAACCTTAGGAAAGAATCTAGATTAACCAAAAAACAAAGAAAAAAAATGAAACTTGAGATTTGTTATAGCTGTCCATATACTAAAATCATTATTCCTCCCCAACCTAAATTCCCCTTTGCATTATTTACAAACAAAATGACAAAAATCACATGCCTCTCCCCTTATTATTCCACATCTCAAAAAAAAAAAAAACCTTTTTAAATCCTTATAAATTTACTCCACTCCCACTTTTCTCTCTCTTTATCAAAAATCTCCTCCTTTAATTTTCTCCCATCTTTCCATAACCCAAACAAAAATGGCGAAAGTGAAATCTCTCTCTATTATGTTCATCTCATCCATTTTCTTCATCGTTATAGTAGCGCTTTCATCGCCGGCCGTTGCTGGTTCCGCTGCGGCAGTAGCAGCTAGTGGGTCCCACCAGCTGGGCTACTTTCCGATGACATTGTCTTCTTTTTCACCGATCTGTGACGGTTCGATTGGGGACTGTTTGGCTGAAGAAGACGAGGATGAGTTCGGGATGGAATCGGAGAGCAGCCGGCGCATGTTAGCATACCGCCGGAGATACATTAGTTACGGTGCGCTTAGTAGTAACAGAGTGCCGTGTTCAAGGAGAGGAGCTTCATACTACAATTGCCGTCCCGGAGCTCAGGCGAACCCTTACCAACGTGGATGCAGTGCCATCACGCGCTGCCGTCATTGAAAACCCTCTACACAGTAAATTTCTCGATTTACTGTATTTTACATTTTTTTTACCGGAGTGGTAAAAAAGTTAAAAATTCTTTTTGAGCTTTGTGTGATCTATTTACTATTATTATTATTATCGAGTATGGTTACTTATTATTGATGTATTTGTGAATTGTGGTAGAGAAACATTCTTGTAGTTTTTTTTTGTATGATGATGTTGTAATAATATTTAATTTATCATGCCGCTTACTATAATCTTTTACTATTTATTTGAAATAAATGATGTTTTAGCACTTGTTGAGGAATTTTTTTAATTTTTTTTTGGTGGGATAATAATTAAGTTAGAGGTTATTTGTTTTGGCAAATGATTTTCTATTTGAAGTTGAGTTGGAATAGCAAATCAATTGTTAGACAAATATTAATTTGCAAATATGTCCAAAGTGCATAGATATGTGATCTTATTCTATGTAAATGTTGCTTACTATGGAGTTTGATATGATAATTTTTTTTGGTAATGTTGAGTGTTTAATTAGAATAACTTGAAGTTTAGATGCGTAAATGAAACGTTCATGTCAATTTTAAATGTTTGTCGATAAGTTTAGTACCGAATTTAAGATACAAATAATAGCTCTGCCGTTTCTATTTATTTCTCTAATAATTAAGTAGAGGTTATTTATTGTTTTGAGTTGAGATATGAGTAGGTTGAAGTGGAATCTCGTCTTGAGCTTAATACGGCAAATAAGTTACTCCCTCCATTTTTATTTATCTGTCGTTCTTATTAAAAATAGATATAAGTATTGTTTTCAAAATCAATGCATAAATAATATTATTAGCTTTGAAAATATGTATTGCTAAATAAAGATACAATGTAAAGTTACTAGCTACTCCTTAATTTATGAAGTTTGAGTAGCTGGTTAGAGTTGTGTAATGTTGAAATTAGTTGTGAATGAATTATGTATTATTTAATGCAGTATATATATTGAATAACTAATTTTCTATCTACCTATTAAACGTAGTATAAATTATATGAAAATTATAACGTATTTCTTATCCATCTACCAAACAAATCCCGAAAGTTTTTGATACTTACTACTTACTAGTTTCTATGTTCATTTTTATTAATATTTTGATGAGGTATTTATATAAAACTCATTTCTTAACTAAATAAACTCTAGAAATAACTAGAGCCGAATTGCCATTTATTTTTCCGGAAGAAGGGAGAGATAGATTTATTTGGAAGACAATAATTGAAAGGGGTACATAAATGATGAAAATGTGGAATATGGCACATCTACGCATAGACAGGCATTTAATATCTGAATGTGTGCACCACATTAATAAGAGAAGAAAAAAGAAAAAAGAAAAAAGAAAAAAGAAAAAATTATTTGTGTAGGGACAAGTGTTAATAATCAAAATTCAAACCTCACGAGTAAACTCTCTTTACTTTACTTTTTACCCATTCATAGACAAGACAATACACAAGTGAACCCTGTCATTATCATCTTTTCCATACACTAGTTCATTTACAACTGTGATCCAACCAATTTCCCTTCATTCTTTTTTGCCCACTTCCTTTTCATACAATTGCAAATATTTTCTTCTTTTTGAACAAGGATAAATGAATTTCTAAAATCTCAGAAAAATAACCCTTTGTTACACACCCTTTAATGTCTCATATGATTCATATCTAAAACGTTAAATTGATAATCGCATTGATGACCAATAGCAGATGTCATAGCACACAACCAGAAAAGGATAACACTCTTTTTTAAAGCTAAACAATCGTAACAAACCACCTCGATGCATCGTCTTAGGCAGAATCATCAGCAGATTTTGTGTCATCTTTTGACTTCACTGCGGCCGAAGGTGATGAAGAACCTTCTTGGCCCATTTCAATTCTCAAATCATTGATGCTCTGCTCCAATTCATCAATTCGGTTCCCCATATCATCTAGTGCAGCATTGTCAAGGACTCCAAGTTGATCTCACAAAACAAAGACAGATATTTTGTATAATATACTAGTACTAGAGAGAATGACAAAGTAGGCATATCCAGACCAGCAGGACATAGGGAAATCATCACATACGAATACACGAAAAAAAGATGACAGGAACTAAATTTCATGAAGCTAAAGAAGGCTAAATTCTGATTGAGTACCAGAACTGATATAATCAAATCTGGTTGAGGTGTACGGTGTACCAGAAGTCATACTAACTTGAAAAGTTATAAGAAAATTGGAACTGAAGTAGAAAATGATTTCACGAGACCCTCGAGTCTCAAAACTGTGGGCACATTTCTAGTTCTTAAAATCAGAGCTTTATGACTTGCTATAAACAACCTACTTCATTTGTTAGATGACACCCATACACCAACTAATTAAACTAGATTAAGACCAATGACTAGTTACTTAGATAACAAGGAACAACAGATCAGAAAAGGATATTTTTTGAGATGATTGATTCAGACATAGTCTGAAACCTGGTTTGCTGCAAAGAGAGAACAAACCAGTTAGAAGATATATCAAATAAAAACTAGTGAAGGACCCAATTGGTGCAGAGAGGTAGACTCACCATTTGTTGAAGCAGATTCTGTACCTGCAAAGAGCAGAAAGGAAGTAGGAAAAGTTAGCTAGCAAAATAGATGTGTTTATTTGTGATGTCATATATAACATCGTGCTAGTGAATAACAACACTAAGCTGTTTATAAGGCCAATAAAGGAGAAACTAGCAGAGAACCAAATGTATCATGTGTCAGCCACCGAGAATTGCATCACAATTGGTTTTGATGTTATTGTCCTAACATCATATAGCCACATTTAAATTTTAATTTAGACAGATTATAAGTGGCCTGGTTAGCAGGTTAAAATTGCATTTAATGATGAAAATATCACAATGGAAACTAATGACTCCTGGATTCAACTTTTAAGACTCAAACTTCAGTATCAGAGAGGTTAGCAGATTGAGATGGATTATAGAAACCTTTCCAGATTATCATTGAGTATCGACTGGAGTAAAAACTCAGTCTATAACCTACAACAATAACAACAACGCCTCAATCCCAACCAAGTTGGGGTCGACTATGTGAATCCTCACCGTCCATGTCACTACATTTAAGCTTTCTCGGACCAATATTATGTAAAATAAAAATAAAAGGCGCCAGAGTTGTCAATATTTTCTACTCGCATATAAATCTCCCAGACAGGAAAATTCAATGTTTAACATCAATCAAATAAATTCAAATAGTTAAAAAACTTACAAATACAGTCATATCAGCGGTGCTTTGTTTTGTATTATCTGCATCCTGCCCATCCTGCAAGAAGATCCAATTCTTATGGGTCAGAAGGGAGCCAAGTTAAGAAGCTTATGAACAGAAGAAAAGTAGAAATGTATGTAACTGATCTTCCAACCTCCATATTACAAATTCTGTTTAAAATCCAGAAATCTGTTACTGTACTATTTATCTTATTTTCCAGAATAACTAGCTTTCAGCTAGAAGAACATAACCAGAAGTTCTCAGAGCACAATAATCCTTAACCTCTACCCTCTCTTAATCAATTATATTTCTGATCAATGTTTGACAAACAAAGATGTAAACTGAAGAATTAGTGAATCTAATTTCCCACAGATAATGCTGCTGAAGGCTTAGTCATTTGGTTATACTAGGAAGTTTAATTGGAGTCTAGGTATTGTCTTATACCTAACAAAAATGCAAAGGAGAAAACCACGTTTTGAGATGTATGTTTCTGTAACTATTTTTGCACAGGCCTAGTACATTAGGCAGCTTTAATGATGTCAATACAAAAGTTACTGTGGACATTCTTCCATATGTAAATCAAAATTTGGCTACAGTGGCTCTTAACAAAGCATGTTGTTGATGCCAATTGGTGTTCTATTTGAGTTAATAGTCGCTGCCATTTTCTAAGTTAGTGCTTCGACTCAACTGATTGAGGATCAACTTAAGTGACAAGAAAGTTCACCATGATAGTTGTTTCAAAGTACACAATGCCCGAGCTTATAAGTGAAATCATATAAATCCAAATTTAATCAGTCAAGAATGCAAAGTAACACAGTTTAGCCTCCAAACAATGTGTTATCACCACAACAAAGGTGCAGTTTTATGTGAGTTCTTATGTAATATCTAGTCAGAAGAGTTTGTTGTGTAAGTAAGTGGAGTTTGTTTAAAAGTTGTTATTAGGGGTGTCAAAACAAGCCCAAATATAGGCAACTCACCCAAACCAATTTCTATTTCAACCCATTTTAATATCTCAAATTTCAACTCAACCCGCCCATTTGATACCCCTAGCATTAGGGTATAAATGCTAACTGATTCTTGTAATAGCTAAGGTTTTGCAGAAATGAAAATCCCCCTGTCCTCCTACTTCTCTCTTCTTCATCTCATTTATCACGGACTCTTCTTAGCTCAAAGAACATAGAGTGAATCCTATCACATGCGTATGAATCTTCATACATTGTGCTGATTCAGCTCTATTTTACATACTAAAACAAAAGCAAATATCCATATCTCCAACTTCAAAAGAAGCTATCATATCCCTCTCCCTCAATGTATTCTTAAACCTTCTTCTTACACGGACTCCCACCTAACAAACATCGCAGAAGAGTTTCTTATTTGCTTAAACAAAGCAATACATGTGCCACATTTAATACAACGCTACTAAAACATTGTTCTAAATTATTTTGCAACCATATAATCCAACAGATTAAATATATAAAATATTTAATAACACTTCAATTCATCTCCCAACCCTATGTTCTTATAAGAACCTCATTGTACTTCATTTTAACATACTGAAACTGTTTCAGTATGTTATACCAGTACCTTTTTAGTTATAAATATCTAATTTGAGACAAAAATTAGCCAGTTTCACATCGTACTCGATTCCTCATCCTTTCTAAATTTGCGAATAGCATAATGAATTTTATCACTTACCAAAAGGAAGAACCTAATTATTTTTTTTCAAATTGAAAATAATTGGTCACAAGCACGATTGAGTCTCAAATGTTAAAAGGTGAATAAAATACTCCAAATCAGCAGCTAAACAGTGAAATTTTTACCTTAGGTTGTGCAATAAAGCATATATAAATCGCGATGCGAAATGTTAAAAAAGGGAAATCAGGAATTCGATTGGAATAAAGGACCTAAATCTGAAGAAAATGAGGTAGGAATTTACTTGACATTCTGCTTCTGGACAAAATTGAGAGTGATAGAGAGATGAGTCCTTACCATTTGTTCGTCGGAGAGAGAAGCTTCAGGTTAATCGGAGCAGAGAGAATAGGGAAGAGATTGTGAGTACAAAAATGGCGAAATTGTTTTTGTGAGGAGAGGGACTAAAATTTGAAACAAATATATTTGAAATTTGAAATGAACAAACTGGGCCCCCACCCAATTATGCTTTCATGTGTAGAGGGAAAAAAAAAAAGAACCTCTGATTAAAATGATTACGGGCAAATTATGCTTTCAGGCGTAAATGCCCGTTTGAATTAATTCTCCGTTCATCTTTATTTGTTTATATTATTTCGGGTTGTTCGTTAATATTTGTTCAGTTTATAAAATTAATAAATAATTTATAATATTTTATCTTTGCTATTAAATATTATTTATTTTTTAGTGTCTAAATGACTTATATTTAATAAGAGTGATTTGATAAAGTTACCCCTATTATTTACTATTTTTTACTAATTCATATGTCAAGTTAATAGTGGATAACTATTGATAAAACTTACCTGCTCCGGGTGTTTACACCAAGTCAATACATGCATGCCATGTGTTTAAATTTATAGTTCATTTTACTTAACCATAATTAATTTACATGTGTTTTACTTCATTAAATCACGTAATAATGGAAATTGCATTGGCTTGGTGTAAACACCCGATGCGGATAAATTTTATCCGATAACTATTGTTGGATAGAGGAGTATTTTCTATGTTCCTATTTAGTTGTCATCATTTTAGATTTTACACCCCTTACGAAACTAGATAAGTTTACCATTGTAGCCTAATTTAGTGTTCTGTTAAAGCTAAGTTTCCCATGTTTTTTTCATTCTAGATCTCTTGTAACACTTTCAACAATGGTTTTTTCTTTCCAGATCTCTCCTCCTCTCTGTCTGGTCCTTTTAACCTGTAACTTTTTTCTCTAGAAAAAATTCAAAAAGTAAAGCTCTTTATAAATCATTTTCAAGTGAATTATTGAACAAGTTTTAGCTTTGACGATTATCTAAACTAATCGATCAAAATTGGGAAAGTGGATTGAGAAAAAAATGTTATTATGAATATTGAAAGAAGATGATCGTGACAAGATTCATTATTGAAAAGGAAATTGAAGGTGTGATCATTACAATTATATGAGAATTTGTTACTAGATGGCAGATATTGGGAGGTGATGAATTTATCAGTGTATAATTAATATTGGATACACGTATTTAGATTGTATCTTTTCTTATTTGATAAATATATCAATGTATATTTGATACAAGATACATGTCAATAGATAATATGTTGGTGTATATGCATTTTATTATTAAAATAAAATATTAAGTGCATATGTTAGTGGGTATAAATTGTGGGTATAAAACTATAAATTGTGGTAAAAGTTTATATTAAGTTTAGTGTAGTGAAAGAGAGAGTTGAGAAATAGAAAACAAGTCTTCAACTATATTCACTATACAAAAGAGAATATTTGTATGTTAAAGGAAGGTGTTTTTATGTGGAGCTTTGGATTCTTCAACTAATCCGGAGTTGCTTGAGTTGTACATGTTGTTGGGTTGTTGTATCCTGGAGGGGACAAGTCCAGAGTTATACTACTGGATCGATGTAGATTATGTCGCAGTGGGCTTGAATCTCCTTAAAGAGAGCGAGATATTTGTGCATCAACCTAAATAATTATTTATTCATTTTGTTAATTTTATTTTCAACTGTAATTTATTATATTTGTGATATATTACACCATCATAATAATAATTGTATCTTCTTTTTCTAAGTATGTGTCTATGTGCAGATACACTTGATACATTAGTACTTATCTGATAAGTAAATATATTGTGTCTATTTGATACTAGATACATGTATTTGGATTGATGTACTTATATACAGATACATTGGATACATCAATGCATATTTGATACTAGATATATCTATCTATGTACAAATACATTAAATATAGTATGCATATATTTTTTACATATTAAACATAATTAAATAAGTAAGAACCTTATTTATTTTTCTAATAAATATTTCTTTCACGCCAAACACACCTAAATTATTTCAAATTCAATCAAAAGTAGTTTATAGTATGTTTATACTTTACAATGATGATAAACAAAATACAATGTCTAGTTCCAAATGTAATCAATGTATTGTAGGTCATACTTTCGAGAAGGATTATCAATCTATAACGAAAGTTCTTATCGTGACGACAATTAATCGAAACAACCTAATAATGGAATATATTCCAAAATAATTATCTAAGAAGAAATGTTATGCAAGATAAAATTAAACGCATGACATATCATTTCTATTAAACTAATTTAATTGTTTAACTTTGTGGACTCATTTTCATTTTAACAATCAAGCCTTTTGAATATGTGAGCTAATAATCCGTCTAGCTTTCTTCTAAAATTAGTTAATTGAAATTTATATGTTCACGTACTATTGTGATTCATGTCTTAGTTATATATATTTTTTAAGTTATATTTTAAGTATTTTTTTTAATAATTATATTTCAATATACTTAATTATGAATATATCTAACAGGGGTAAGTATAAGATTTTTTTAATGTATATGAATTATAAGTGTTAGATTTTAAATCATAGAGGATGTATTAGAACTAATTCATATTATAATAGTGTTTAGTATAATCAATATATTATAATAGTGTTTTAGTATAATCAATATATTATAATAGTGTTTAGTATAATCAATATATTTTATCTAATAATTTTTTATTATTTTACATTTATATATTATTATTTTATACTTTATATATTATTTGCAGAATTAGAAAAAAAAAGAAGGTAACAACAATATTTTTACAAGATTAGAAACAAAAAAAGACAACAATTAAAGATTTCACTCCTCCCAAAATATTTATTGAAAATTTGAATATGTACATTTTTATTTAATAAAAATAATTTTTTTAATTAAAATATTTACCATAGATACAATAAAACCTCTATAAATTAATATAGGTGGGACCATGCAATTTTATTATTTTATAGAGATATTATTTAATTGATAAATTAATATTTATTAATTTAAAGAATGATTTGAGATTTAATGAAGGTTAATTTTGATTATATCAAAATCATTGTATCTTACTAATTTATGTATCATATTTATTGATTTCACATATAAAAAAAATATTATACATAAAGTACAACGAATACATTATAATCATTGTATCTTACTAATTTCAACCTTGTGATGTTGGGATAATAAGAGCTTTCAAGATGTATTATCGTAACAGATTTTATCGTAGGATGTTAGAAGGCTATGAAGTGGGACAAACTAATCCAGAAAAGATTAATGTTTTGGATGCTATCAATTTTGTAATCCCTGCTTGGACAACAAATGTTCAGCAAGAGACAATATCAAATTGTTTTTGACACTGTAAAATTCGTTCGGGGGTACAATCTCAAAGAATTTGAATGAACCCACTTGTGAAAACGTCATTTATGAACTTGATGTCATGATTAATGATATTGGTTACCACAATAAAATGGATGTCAATAACCTGTTGGATTATCCGGGTGAAAGTGATATATGTTCAGAGGTCCAGAGCTTAGAAGAAATTGTGGATACCATCTGAAAAAAACAATGTTGATGATGAAGTTGAAGATGATACTATAGTACCTTTGGAACTAGTTACGCGTAAGGAAAAACTTATCGCATCTAAAACTCTTCACAATTTTATGGTGCAGTTCAAAAAAACAACACCGGAGCTCTTGGATGCAATAAGAAAAGTTAGAGATGAGCTTCAACTAGATTTAAACTTTAAGAAAAAACAGAACACAATAGAATCATATTTCACTAAATTGTCTTAGATATATTTGTACTTTTAAAGAATTATTAATTTATGATATTAATGAGACCATATATTTATATAGGGGTCTTCTGGAAATACACTATCTTATTATCTTTTCGAAATTGATGATTTTTTCCATTGGTTCAAGTCTGGACCGGAGGAAAATATTATTTTAGAGAGATTATTAATTTACCGAGTATTAGTTTATAGATGTTTTACTATATTTCATATGATTTCTCTCTATAAAACAATCGTAATATTAAAAGTATATTAATACTTAACTTCTTTCATAATTTGACTCTCAAAATACTTTTTTTAACTTCTTAAATGAATTAGTTAAATAGAAATTATTTTTAAAAAAAGTAATTTTCTAAAAATCTATTTTTAGAAAGTACTTTCGAAAATAAGCGGTTTTAGTAGTAATACCATGTAGGCTCTAAGCAATAGATATTCGATGTACATAAATTATGCAATCGGCAATCCACATAAAATAATAATAATAATAATAATAATAATAATAATAATAATAATAAAAGAAACAATGCATGTGTGCTATTTAATGTCAAACAGAAACATCCATTTCTTCGCCGGTTGTTAATTTTATTACGTATAAGTTTGAACTAATTAAAACACGTAAATGCTGGGACCAATCTTTATTAAATTAAAGTCGTTTATTAATTGCATAATAAAACCGATTATGATATCATTAAAGGTTCCAACTGCCAGGCGATAAATATCAAAATCCCTCATAAACGAATTTTAAAGGAGTTAAATCGAGATATATGTTCCTAACCTTATACTATAAATTATTATTTTTAATAGGGGAAAAAGTTTGAAATATATCTGAACTTTAACCGAAATTGCTGAAACAATATCAAACTTTGAGCAGGACCTATTATCCTTGCACTATTTAATAGTGTATTTTAAAGATATATAAGTGTCCAGCTGGACAAGTTACTATTCATAATGATGCAATATTTATGATGTTCTGGGATAATAGATTCTACCTAAAATTTGGGATTGTTATAACAATTTCTGTCAAAGTTCAAATATATTTCAGATATTTTCCCTTTTTAAGTATATACTATTTGTTTTTGTCTCTAACCTAATAAGCAAAACTACTTGCAATCACAAATATATTTTTGAGAAAAATTGGCTATATCTATGTATAATATATATTTATTGTCTCTAGTTACCAATAATTATATAAATAAATACATTGTCTCTAATCTAGTAAAGGAGGGCCTCCAAATATCAAATCGTGGAAATATGTCCTACACTGGAACTTTATTATGTCATTTAACTAAATTTTAAATTTTAATTTCTTTATATTAATTGAAAGTTTGAAATATTGGGAC